AAAGATACCCAGATGTTGCACATGTGTTTAATGATTATATTACTGATGTTATATAGAATAATGATATATATATTACCGACAAGTTGTTAAATACGACACATGTACGATAATTTAAGAAACTTTTCGCCTGCGCAGCAGACATCTCCAGTTAAAAACGGGTAAATACTGGAGGCACCTTGTACCTTTGATGAGCTTTCAGTTTTCCTGCTCCACTGTAACTTGTCATGATTGTGACCAGATCTACCTGGAGTTCATTACCTTTGTAAGTTGTCATGATTGTGACCAGATCTACCTGGAGTTCATTACCTTTGTAAGTTGTCATGATTGTGACCAGATCTACCTGGAGTTCATTACCTTTGTAAGTTGTCATGATTGTGACCAGATCTACCTGGAGTTCATTACCTTTGTAAGTTGTCATGATTGTGACCAGATCTACCTGGAGTTCATTACCTTTGTAAGTTGTCATGATTGTGACCAGATCTACCTGGAGTTCATTACCTTTGTAATTTATGATTGTGACCAGATCTACCTGGAGTTCATTACCTTTGTAATTTATGATTGTGACCAGATCTACCTGGAGATCATTACCTTTGTAATTTATGATTGTGACCAGATCTACCTGGAGATCATTACCTTTGTAATTTGTGATTGTGACCAGATCTACCTGGAGTTCATTACCTTTGTAAGTTGTCATGACTGTGACCAGATCTACCTGGAGATCATTACCTTTGTAAGTTGTCATGACTGTGACCAGATCTACCTGGAGTTCATTACCTTTGTAAGTTGTCATGATTGTGACCAGATCTACCTGGAGTTCATTACCTTTGTAATTTATGATTGTGACCAGATCTACCTGGAGTTCATTACCTTTGTAATTTATGATTGTGACCAGATCTACCTGGAGATCATTACCTTTGTAATTTATGATTGTGACCAGATCTACCTGGAGATCATTACCTTTGTAATTTATGATTGTGACCAGATCTACCTGGAGATCATTACCTTTGTAATTTATGATTGTGACCAGATCTACCTGGAGTTCATTACCTTTGTAAGTTGTCATGACTGTGACCAGATCTACCTGGAGATCATTACCTTTGTAAGTTGTCATGATTGTGACCAGATCTACCTGGAGATCATTACCTTTGTAACTTGCTCAGTTATCAAAACTTTGGGTACAGTCCCTGGACCCATTATGTACCTCTTATCTTTTGACTACCGCCCACAGGATGGGTATGGGGTGACTACCGCCCACAGGGTGGGTATAGGGTACATAATAAACATATTAAATTAAAACCTACTCCGGGAGCCCGGCCATGGACCAGGCTCGTCTGGGCGAGTACACATGGGAAAGAGAAGCTTGTGACAATGTTTGGGTCCGACTTGAACTATTTACAAGTCAGGCTAACACACGAGAGTGAGGGAGCCAGTATATATAGGAGAGGAGGACAGGGACGGGACAGAGAGAGGAAGAAGTGAAGAAGCAGTGGTAATGCTGGTAGTGGTAGTAGTAGTAGTAGTTGTTGTTGTGGTAGGGGTAATATCTTTAGTGCTATGGCAGTCTTTCTATTAGCTGCTGCAGTAGTAGTAGTAGTAGTAGTATAGTAGTAGTAGTAGTAGTATAGTAGTAGTATAGTAGTAGTAGTAGTAGCAGCAGCAGCAGCAGTAGTAGTAACACTAGCAGTAGTAGTAATAGTAGTAGTAGCAGAGCATATAGCATAGCAGTATAATAGCACTAGCAGTAGTAATACTAGCAGCAGTAGCACTAGCAGTAGTAGTAGCACTAGTAGTAGTAGTAGTAGTAGTAGCAGCAGCAGCACTAGCAGCAGTAGTAGCACTAGCAGTAGTAGTAGCACTAGCAGTAGTAGTAGCACTAGTAGTAGTAGCACTAGTAGTAGCATTAGTGGTGGTGGTGGTGGTGGTAGTAGTAGTAGTAGTAGTTTTAGTGGCACGAAAAACAGAGTGAAGCGAGTGCCTTATTCTTCTAACTGGTTGAGTACTAAGCCCTTATTCTTCTAACTGGTTGAGTACTAAGCCCTTATTCTTTTAACTGGCTGAGTACCAAGACCTTATCCTTCTTCTAACTGGGTGAGTACAAAGAGTACATACCACTCTTGAGCAGCTCCGGTGCCAGCAGGTTGGAGAGGTCTGGCTCATCACCGTACCAAAACACCCAGAGTTCCTTAGGTGAGTGCTTGAGTGAGTGGCGCTGCTGCTGGTGGTGCTGCTGGTGGTGCTGGTGGTGGTGGTGGTGATGGTGGTAGTTGGACTGCTGGGGGGAGGGAGGTACATGGTCGTGCGGCGGACGCCACGTACGTCGCCACACGCACAGCACGTCAGCGGCCACCATGCGGGAGTACGACACCAGCACGGGGTCTTCCAGAGGGTCAGCTGGCACTCCCCCGCCGCCGCCGCCGCCCCCGCCGACGCCGCCACCGCCGCCACTTCCGCCAGGGTTGTCCCATACATATACCCGCCATTTTATCCCGCACAAGTCAGTCTGGAAAAGAAAATTAGCAATAAACACCCGACATTAACCATTTTTTTTTTTTTGAGACGGTGGAGCAGAATAAGAGAACAAAGATGTATAACGCTGGAGAGGTAGGACAGAGGGAGGGGAAGGGGGCGTCCCTGGACTGGTAGGAGGGAGAGGGGTATTCAAGGAGGTTTTGCGTGCTGTGTCTTGAACATCCAGCACTTGAAGAGGCAATCAACAAGTGCGACTCCAGGTTGGGATGCCAGTAACAGTAGCGCTAACAGTAGTAATAAGTGGCACTAACAGTAGTAGTAGTAACGACAGTAGTGACATTAACAGTAGTATTAACAGTGGCATTAACAGTTGTAACAATAGCATAACAGGAGGAGTAACAGTAGCATCAGTATTAGTAGCAGCAGTGGCATTAACAGTAGTAACAGGAGCAGTAGTAGCATTTACAGCAGTAACAATAACGGCAGTAGTAATAACAGTGGCACTAACAGTAGCAGTAGTAGTAACATTTACAGTAGTATAACAACAGCAGTAGTAACAGTGGCACTAACAGTAGTAGTAGTAACAGTGGCACTAACAGTAGTAGCAGCAACATTTACAACAGTATAACAATAACAGCAGTAGTAACAGTGGCACTAAGAGTAGTAGTAGCAGCAGTAGTAACAGTGGCACTAACATTAGTAGCAGTAGTAGTAGTAACAGTGGCACTAACAGTGAGTGTTGCCAGGACGTAAGACACAGTGTTGCCAGGACGTAAGACACAGTGAGTGTTGCCAGGACGTAAGACACAGCGAGTGTTGCCAGGACGTAAGACACAGTGAGTGTTGCCAGGACGTAAGACACAGTGAGTGTTGCCAGGACGTAAACACGTGAGTGTTGCCAGGACGTAAGACACAGCGAGTGTTGCCAGGACGTAAGACACAGTGAGTGTTGCCAGGACGTAAGACACAGTGAGTGTTGCCAGGACGTAAGACACAGTGAGTGTTGCCAGGACGTAAACACTGGAGTGTTGCCAGGACGTAAGACACAGCGAGTGTTGCCAGGACGTAAGACACAGTGAGTGTGCCAGGACGTAAGACAAGCGAGTGTTGCCAGGACGTAAGACACAGCGAGTGTTGCCAGGACGTAAGACACAGCGAGTGTTGCCAGGACGTAAGACACAGCGAGTGTTGCCAGGACGTAAGACACAGCGAGTGTTGCCAGGACGTAAGATCCTCGCAACCATTCACCTTATCATCCAACATTCAGCAATCTTTATTGGAGTCGAAGTTTTCGACTCCAGGCTGAGGGACTGATTACCTTCAACTCTTGTCTCACCGTTCTTCTCTGTATTGGACTGAAGAAGCCACTGGCTGGCGAAATGTTTCCACAAAGTTGAACAAGTGTCTTATTCTTCAACGTGTGGGGTTTCAAAACCACTCACGGGTATCACAGACTTGTCTAGTGGTCACAGTTGCGGTTTTCGTCACACAGGGTGCTGTTTCCAGTCAAGAGGATCGAGCCCACAATGTCCCGCATAACGACATAACACAAGATTACTGCTGGACAAGTATCTTCACCGGGGGTGCGGTGAGCGCAATAAGAGAACACTATATCAACATCCGTGGCCCCAGATTATTCAACATCTTACCAGAAGATATAAACATTGCTGGAACAAGTGCAGAAGTCTTCAAGAGGAAACTGGACAAGTATCTTCACCAGGTGCCAGATCAACCAGGTTGTGATGGGTATTTGAAGCAGCGGGCCACCAGCAGCAACAGCCTGGTTGACCAGGCTAACATCAGACGATCCTGGTCTATAACCGGGCTCCGAGAGTAGTAATACTCTCGAAAATCAAAGGCATATCAAAGGTAAAGATCAACATCCCCATTAAACACAATTCGCACAATAACTCGTAAATATAACAACGATATTTTACACAATAACAACCACAATACACAGCAACAAGAATAATAAAAACTATTAATAAACACAAGAACTATTAAGAAAAGTGAACACCAGAATTGTGTAAGATTTATATACCAGTCATCTTAGGTGTTTACGATTTATATACCAGTCATCTTAGGTGTTTACCATTTATATACCAGTCATCTTGGGTGTTTACCATTTATATACCAGTCATCTTGGGTGTTTACCATTTATATACCAGTCATCTTAGGTGTTTACCATTTATATACCAGTCATCTTGGGTGTTTACGATTTATATACCAGTCATCTTAGGTGTTTACGATTTATATACCAGTCATCTTAGGTGTTTACGATTTATATACCAGTCATCTTGGGTGTTTACGATTTATATACCAGTCATCTTAGGTGTTTACGATTTATATACCAGTCATCTTAGGTGTTTACGATTTATACACCAGTCATCTTGGGTGTTTACGATTTATATACCAGTCATCTTGGGTGTTTACGAGACACCAGTAAACACATTTAACTGGCTTCTGTTTCATACAAGAATGATACAGCCATTTCTTTCTCTGCTAATTGTAACACCTGTTGAGTGATACCACAACAGTGAATGTACGTGTGTGTGTGTGTGTGTGTGTGTGTGTGTGTGTGTGTGTGTGTGTGTGTGTGTGTGTGTGTGTGTGTGTGTGTGTGTGTGTGGCGGCAGAAACATCCTCTCTGTTCATCCTAACTCACTACTGTGTCATACCAACAGTGAATGGATGCTTGTTGTGTGTGTGACGGGAAATATCCCGTCACCATAACTCACTACTGTGTCATACCAACAGTGAATGGATGCTTGTTGTGTGTGTGACGGGAAATATCCCGTCACCATAACTCACTACTGTGTCATACCAACAGTGAATGGATGCTTGTTGTGTGTGTGACGGGAAATATCCCGTCACCATAACTCACTACTGTGTCATACCAACAGTGAATGGATGCTTGTTGTGTGTGTGACGGGAAATATCCCGTCACCATAACTCACTACTGTGTCATGCCAACAGTGAATGGATGCTTGTTGTGTGTGTGACGGGAAATATCCCGTCACCATAACTCACTACTGTGTCATACCAACAGTGAATGGATGCGTGTTGTGAGTGTGACGGGAAATATCCCGTCACCATAACTCACTACTGTGTCATACCAACAGTGAATGGATGCTTGTTGTGTGTGTGACGGGAAATATCCCGTCACCATAACTCACTACTGTGTCATACCAACAGTGAATGGATGCTTGTTGTGTGTGTGACGGGAAATATCCCGTCACCATAACTCACTACTGTGTCATACCAACAGTGAATGGATGCGTGTTGTGAGTGTGACGGGAAATATCCCGTCACCATAACTCACTACTGTGTCATACCAACAGTGAATGGATGCTTGTTGTGTGTGACGGGAAATATCCCGTCACCATAACTCACTACTGTGTCATACCAACAGTGAATGGATGCTTGTTGTGAGTGTGACGTGAAATATCCCGTCACCATAACTCACTACTGTGTCATACCAACAGTGAATGGATGCGTGTTGTGAGTGTGACGGGAAATATCCCGTCACCATAACTCACTACTGTGTCATACCAACAGTGAATGGATGCGTGTTGTGAGTGTGACGGGAAATATCCCGTCACCATAACTCACTACTGTGTCATACCAAAACACACTGGTATTTCCATCACCAGAAATAAACTTCCAAACTCTCTGACCGAAGCTTCTGCCACCTTACCAAACTACCAACTAAAAGCTTCCCATGTCACACTTATCTGGTCTAAGTTTTTAAGGCCACTTAAAAAAAAAAGTAAGAGGAGCACACATTTGCGTCCCAAAATAATCCAATATACTTGCGTCCCAAGATAACGTAGCACATATTTGCGTCCTAAGATGAGCGAGAGGTTATGGTGAAATATGCAAGATCCTCACCAGTGAAAACAAGATACCCTATAAAGTTCTGAGAAAACTTACTATAATCAAACCTGCCTTGATAAAGTCCTACACAGGATGAACCATGCCTTGATAAAGTCCTACACAGGATGAAACATTACTTGATAAAGTCCTACACATAAAGGGAGAGAGGTTCTTCCAATATAAGGTCGACCTGCAAGGCATATTTAGTGTCCACTATTATCTACAGTATGCTAATCAGATCTAAGACTGGCACAGGTGATTTGATCTAAGACTACCAGGTGTCTGTACTTGTTGCACACCTCCACTCAGTCACCACTCCTCTGACACTCTTATTATGTATTACCATCACCGTCTCCCACCAAGGTAGGGGAACCCGTCATAGGGTACTTGCCTATAGGATCATTCGACGCCTGGGAAATGATAGGTAATCAAGTTTACCTCTTGACGTATAATTTTAATCATTGTTATACCCTGGTACGTTAAAAGTTAAGAGACTGAGGGACTGACCACCTCAAAACTTTAAGGGTGATGGACTGATTACATCGTCTTCAAGTATCTTCTGCTTCTATCAACTTTTCTGTACTTGACTGAAGAAGCCTACTGTGTAGGCGAAACGTTTCATATTAAAGATACCTAACTGTTGCATATGTGTCTTACCTAACAACGTTAAGAGTTGTACAAGGTAATGCCTTCATCCGTTATATGCGGGTACGCTGTACCCAGTGAGGACAAATCTTAAGCTGTAATCGTTTTAATGAGAATTTGTTTGTGATTCTGAAGGAGATACAATGACTAGAGTGAGAGAGTTATAACACTTGTACATGACGACTCTAAAGACTGTATACCTGGTTAGGGATAACCCAGTGAAGGGGAGGGAGGGACGGATCCTTCAGTTTCCTGTATTAAGTCTTTCAGTTGCATGGTGACGAGTAGCAAGCACTAAGTATGCTTATTACCTGGTAACACCTGACTACATTCAAGGTTACCAACATCTTCCTCCTCTACCCCCATCACTCACACACTCTCACACCACACACACACACACACACAACACACAACACACACACACACACACACACACACACACACACACACACACACACACAACCTTCAAACCTTCATTCTGCCAACTTGTTATTCAGAGAATGGTATCCA